TTTTATTAGTAATATTGAGGACAAAAACCCTATACAAAACATGCACAAACCCTATTTTATTATAGAGGGAGACTAACAAGCATGCATAAATATATACACCCCACTAAAAAAATACTACTCACATATGGAACATGAATTAAATTGTCAATTTCTTTTTTTTTTGAAAGAAAATTGTCAATTTTTAATTTCAAATTTTGTGAAATTAGAATTGTATAATACCGTTCCTAAATCAGCGATTCCGGTTCCAATAAAGTTCATGTTTTTATTTACAATTTTAACAATTTTTAGATTTAAAAGTTTACTTAATTATGTTAAAATAAATTAAGTAATACGGAGTGACTAATAAGATTATTGAAAGTAAAGCGTTTTTAATATATGGCCTTGTTTGGGAAGTGGCCGATCAAACCTTTTTTAGCTGCTTTGACTATAGTTAATGAGTTTGGTAAATGGCTAGTTGATTTGGCTTATTAGATCCAATCAGCCAAATGTTGAAACAATGCGGGGTTAGCGTTTATAGCTATCTCTTTTATGCCATTCGAATTCACCGCTTCATGTTCCATGCCTCTATTCATAGATTGATATAAAATTGAGATATTACCCAAAATAGGACTAAAAAAGTTTGAAAATTTCAAAATAGGACTTCCATATTTTTATTCCCAAAATAGGACTAATTACTGTGATGTTTTGGCAGTAGCAGACTTCAAACATGTCAGTATTTTCCAAATTTGGCAGTAATTAGTCCTATTTTGGGAATAAAAACATGACAGTCCTATTTTGGAATTTTCAAACTTTTTTAGTCCTATTTCGGGAACTTTCCCTATAAAATTCTTCCACAAGGTGCATGTGCGTTCAAATTGAAATGTCCACAAAATCGCACTTTTAGTCCCTAAAATAGTTACCGTATTGAAATGTCAGATCTGTATTTTTTAGATTGTATATATCACCTCTCAATTGTCCAAATTGATGTAAATGTGGTCTTTTAAGGAGTGAAATGTACTCCTTGCGCACATTGTACATTTCCTCCCTTAAAGGGCCACATTCACAACAATTTGAACAATTGAGAGATGACATTTGCAAACTGGGGAACACGGGTCCGACATTTCAATATGGAGACTATTTCAGGAACTAAAAGTGCGATTTTCTCTTATTCCATATTATTTATATCTGCTTATTTTTATTCGTTTCTATTTTATGGAATCGTTTCTCTCTTGATTAAAATCTACTATTTAGCTTTTTTTATTTCAATAAAAAATATGGCTATTTGATTTATCTCTGTCAAAATTGGTTAGGAGAAATTATTCAGTGCCTTTAGCATACACATTTTCGTCAATCAACACAAGTTCGTAAATCGCACATCACATACTAATTTTTTTTAATATAAAAGAGCGGCTTTTTATATTAATATCAAGAAATCATACACAACAACCTCCAGACAGTTATGTCAGGACCGATCGTAATAGGTTTTCTGTCAATTGGAGTAATGGGGGATCGATCTTTGGTTTTCTGTCAATTGGAGTAATGGGGGATCGATCTATCACAGTGCTTTATAAGTGGTACATTTCCATCACCAAAAACATAAATGTTATATACTAGTATACAAATGGAAGAATTGAGATTTATAGAGTTAGATACTACATTAATTTATTTGTTTTTATTACTGACAAATATTATTTAACTGATTAAACATTGCCAATTCGTAAAGTACATATACACACAAAACTACACTCAAAACTCTATGTATTGCTTAATTTTTGTAGCATTAATTTTATGTTTAATGAAACTGCATATAAGTGCGTGCTGATTTTCATGAATGAAACGTGGGGAATCATGGATGTTTCTATAGATAAACGTTTGGGTATGACCTCTGTGGACAGATGCTCGAGGCGACTATCCGGTTGCCTCTTTCAAGAGACTCCAAATGGTCATAGAAATGTACATTGGTAATTAATAAAATTGGATATGATCTTTGTGTTTTGTATTGTTGAGATTATCTAGTTATCATTTTTTAAAATTGGCTAAAGGGTCAAATAGGCCCCTGTACCTGTTCAGAATGCTCAATTCGCACCCTGAACTAAAAAAAGCTTCAATTCACCCCTTGAACTCAACAAAAAAGTTCAAATCCCACTTTTTGCAGGTTAATTTCCGGTCATCGCCACGTCAGCCGGTTAGATGCCAACCGTGCATCTCACGTGGAAATCTAAGGGGTCAAATAGACCCCTGAACCCGACAAAGTTGTTCAATTTACTCCCTCAACCGTTAAAAAGTGTCCAAATTGCTATTAAAAAGTATGAAATTAAAAAATAGAAAATAAAAATATAAAATGATATACAGGTTCATAATATAAAATATAGATGCCTATTTATAATATAATAAGACGATTTTTATATTTTAGGGTAAATTAAATATATATAAACATAATGAAGGTACTTATTTTTAAATACATAATATCAAAATGTAGTAGTCCGTAGGTATTTACATATTATAATTTTTTTATAGTATAAAATTTTTATGTTGCATATAATTAGTATGAAGTATAGTACGTAGTATATAATTCTAGAATAGAATAATACGAAATATATATACATATATGCATGTGCCATGTGTGTGTGTAATTTTACATATAAATCTAAAACATATTAAAATTATAAAAAAAGTTTTAATGAATTTCTTTTAGTTTATTTTATATGAATTTACTGTAAATATAGATATATCCTTATTTTTTGCGGTAAATTCACATAAAACAAAACAAAACAAATTCATTAAAAATATTTCGATATTTTAAATCCATTTAAAAAAATCAACCATACATTTTTTTACAAATTAATTTTGTATTTTGCGTACTATTTTTCCTATATATATATATATATAATTTACCTGAAATATAAAAAAATTATTGTCATATTATAAATAGACTTATATATTTTATATTATGAACTTGCATATTATTTGTATTTTTATTTTCTATTTTTAATTTTTTATTTTTTAATGGCAATTTCGACACTTTTTAACAATTGAGGGGGTAAATTGAACAACTTTGTCGGGTTCATGGGTCTATTTGACCCCTTAGATTTCCACATGGGATGCACGGTTGACATCTAACCTGCTGACGTGGCGATGATCGGAAATTAACCTGCAAAAAGTGGGATTTGAACTTTTTTGTTGAGTTCAGGGGGTGAATTGGAGTTTTTTTGAGTTCAGGGTGCGAATTGAGCATTCCGAACAGGTACAGGGGCCAATTTGACCCTTTAGCCTTTAAAATTTTCATCAAACAAATTTTTAAAATAGGACAGAGTATGATAATCTAGTCTTGTTTGAGAAAACTTTTAAGGTTTTAGTTCTTTTATAAGTAATCAGAATCGAATTGAATTTCTATATTTAGAAATTGATATTATGAGTTTTATCAATAAGAAAAATACAGTGCAAAACATTTGTTAACATAGATGTTTATTCATGTAAAATGTACATGGTTGTATAATACATAACATGTGTATACTAAATATTTGCAAACATGTGAAATATTTAAATACATCAGGTAGCCATTTATAGTTATATGAATCTTAAATTATACACTTAGTTTTGTAACATATTACATGGGTTGAACATAGGGAGACATATGAGGACAATGAAGTGATCAATAATTACAATCGTCTACTTCGCTCCGGCATAGCATTTGGGGCACAATGTTGGATTGAGACATTGGATAGACATTATGAAAGTATTTCACGCATGATATCCTTAAACACCCCCTCCTACAAATATAGGTAAGGTAATTTGAATGGTGCTCATAAAAATATTTATTCTCGCTTCGCCAAATCTCAAGGCACAATTGAGATTTGAGCATGTTTGATTGACCGTCAAAAATAGGTATACATTAAATAATTGTTTACTATACAATCTCTTTTCTTGGCTCGCAAATGATACCTTTAAAGCAATGCACATGAAGACAAATGTGCATTATTAATTGTACTACACATGAACCCAAAATGTACACATGAACACAAAATGTGCATTGTAAAAAGGCTGAACACATGAAGGCATGCATTATTTAGTTTCTACACATATATATACTCTCTCTTAGGATGTTTCCAAATGGAATGAATTCAGTTCCGGACTAGATTTCAGTAGAACAGAATAAACATGACCAAACTAAGACAATAATAAAATACATATAATTTAGAATCAGTGAATGAAATACTAAGGGATTGGATGAAAGGATTACATATATGATATTATATTATTTTTCATGTGATTTACAATAATAGTAAACCCAGATGAAAAAAAGAGCATATTTAAGCTTGCAGAGAGAAAGGTGAATGAATATATGAATGCAATTAGTGGTTCATTCCAAACTTCATCCATGGAAAGTCCTATTCTGGGTGGGGGTTGGTGTTAATGATGTAGGAATCATGATAAGAAAAACCATAAATGATCCAGAGACAAGTTCTGGCATTATTTATGTGCAACAACATCCTTTTAATTTCCTTTGACACAAAGAAAATGTATTTGATTCCCTATGTGATGATCGTAACCGACTTTAAGTACTAAAATCTGATCTAGGTACTCTCAAATGTATTTGAGAGAGAGGAGGGAGTGAGTACCTGAAGCCTGTTACATTCATTGCATACAAAACCGAATACATTTTTTTGTACCAAAGGATGCTAAAAGGACACTGATTCACATAAAATAAAGCAAAAGGCACTAGTAAAAAACAGGCTTATAATGACACTTTGGTAGTGACACTTTTCTGATAAAATAACATTAATGACAGAAGAGTGTCACCATTTTCTAACACAAATATATCAGCGTCGAATACTGACGCTACGTTTTATTCTTTACGGAGTATTTGTACTATTATGGGCATTCGGAGTTTTACAAGCGCTTCAACACTTTAGATTCCCTCCCATCAACCAAGTCCATTTCCCTTCTTTCAAAGTGCGAACCCTAAATCTTATTCACGAGCTCGATCGATGGCCGTCGTTGTTGGTCTAGCCGCGTGATGTCGTCTCCTTGCTGGTTCTTCTTCGTATGTGATTCTCATCTATTTCAGGTATGTAATTTGTCCTAGGCCATCCTTCAATGATATCAACTAATTTGATTTAGTTTTTAATCGGAAATAGACCACCTTCAGTAATAATCTGGTAGTACTTAATCTTGCGACCTGGACCCCGCCCTAGCTGATTTACGGACCGAGTCGAAGAGTTCTCTCCTTTTGGGAGTACCAGTCGATGGTGAACAGAGATGCTAGCATGGAGTTACTCAATCTTTAACTCTGCACCTCTATCTTTACCTTCTTTAATTTTAATTTTTAGTTTATTAACCTAAAAGTGATGAAATTTTGAAACCAAATCTGATTTTTTAGAATATTATACCATAATTTAAAACTATTTACAGAAAAGGGAGTACATGTTGTTGTATGACTAATTAGCAGCAGGGATAAGTAGGTTGGGTGCTTTGCAAGTATTGTAATGCTTGGCACTAATAAGGTAATTTAAAAAAGGCTTGAAGTTCATATCTAAAAACATTATAATTGTGAATGGGAGTTGGTACCCCTAACTTATGTCAACACACTTTATGCATTAGCTTTTGTACATTGCTTATAAAAATGAAACCCCACTTTTAATATCACTTTTTTACCCTTACTATTTTCCTGCTAACGTTTACGGATTATATTCCGTTAAGTGGAGTTCTAGCCAAAAACAACCAAGTTGATTCACATTTATGGATTATATTCTGTTAAGTGGATTATTTTCATCTGGTTACTTGAGCACATTTATTTCTCAGCAGTTCAGCAGAGGACAAACTGATTCCCTTGAATTACATGAGGAGGTAATTCGAAGGTTTCATTGTTTTTTAAATCTTTTTGACCCCCCTTTTTTTTTATCTTTGACTTCGTTTTGAGCATTGACTCATGTTGTCCGCTTCCTATTCAATTTGCCATAGTAGTGTATCTTAGAAGTGAAGAAGAAAGTTAGTGGTTAAATGTTGTTGTACGAGAATGTTTGTGATTAATTCTTACTTTAAAAAAGTGAGTTTTCAAAAGTGATTTTGGAAAAAATATTTAACAGTATAACTTGTAGTGTTTGAGAAAAAAAATGATTATGAAAAAGTAAAAGTTGATAGTGTTTGATAAAATAAGTGTTTGTTGTGTAATAGAAAAAGTAAAAAGCATTTTAAAGTATCCCTCAACATGCTTCAAGATTTTAGATTTTAAGTGATTAATTTAAGCAGAAGTTGTCTCTTGAAAATATCAATTTCAACTTTTTAAAGTCAAAAGCTGAAAAACGTTTTTTTGTTTTTTTTGCAGAGACTCGTGATTTGATATCTCTCACTTCGAAGCCAGGTAAAAGCAGTTTACGTTTCACCAGGATAGCTCCAATGGTGCTATTGTTGAAGTAAGAAGGACACCACTCTGCTTGTTCAATCAAAGTATTTATATCTTACAACAATATCACATACTACGTATAATGGTTATTTACACAAAAGAATTTAACTTTAGCATTGGGCAAAGGCTCTCGCGCCTTGCGCGATCAAATGCTAGTTGTATGATATGTATATGTGTGTGTGTGAAAATGAGGATTTAATGCTTGTGAGGAGGAAGGTGTGGTGGAATTTTGCTTTTGATGATTTGTTTGTTATACTACGTAATACTTTATAGCAAGAATTGAAAAAACACTGACAGATAGTTGTTTGTAGCAAGAATCTGAATCAATAGAGTTTTGAGGAGCATACTCTTGAAAAAACATTTAACTTAAGATTAAAACTTGCAATTATGTTTTTGTGTCTGTAGCATTCATTGATTTCTATCACGTACTACAAGTAATATGTTCATTTGGTGTCTTGCAGGTTGAAATTGCATGTGCCTAGGTGATATATATGATTATTGCCCCAGGAAGTTTGCCACTTCTTCATTCTCATTATTGCTATTATTATTAATGTTAATATTATATTATATTATATCGTGATAATACTATAGTCCAAAACCTGATTTTCTGTTAAGAAATGCACATATTATGATATTATATGACTGGTTTTGAAATATTTCAGTTGCACATCATATGAATAATTACTATATTCTCAGTACTCATTATATGGAAAAGTATTAGTTATAAATAAACCAGAAAGAAGGATGGCCTCTCTACTGGTGCAGCCTCACATGGGCAGGTTGATTAATTTCATGTATTGTAACTTGTCATATACATATGTGAATTGATTTAGTTCATGATTCCACTCTATTTTGGGCTAATCTATGAATGCATCTGCACCAAAGTCTCCAAGTAAACTTGCTAGTTGTTGTCATCCTTATGATATCAAGTGACGAGATTAGCTACAAGTTCTGCGGATAATATCTTTTTATAGTTAAGTGCTATTCTGTCTTCCCGACTCTCTTTTAAGCTGATTGTGTGTTATTCCAATTGTGGTTATTTATTAACGGAGGTGTTGAGGATTGGCTTGTTCTGAATTTACATTTCAAATTATTATTCTGATTTTGATAGTCTCATAAATAAGTGAAATAGTTAGTGTTACTATTTAACTTGTAATTCATTTTTTGTTTCGTAATGAATCTGATAGATGAAGGAACCGCTAACTTGCGTCCATACTATTCCCGATATTGCAACTTGCCCAGAGCTCTTACTACCCCATAAGGAGTTGGAGGATAAGTTATTTGCTGATTTCTCACAGTTGAGACTGTCTTTATCACAAAAAGAAGGCTCTGGTGTTGGCATTTCTTTGGCCGGTCAATTGTGATATGACCAGGTTGCACCATTCTGGGCACTAAATGTGGCTGCGCTGTAAGTTTAAGTTTATTATACTACTCAATGAATTATACTATGAAATTCTTTTAACAATTTGTTTGTATGGAGCAGAGTTTTCTTAATGCTCGATATTAATTTATCAGGGAAACTATCTTACGGTACAAGAGAGTTAGTGAGAAGTTTACATTGACCTCGCTTCCTAACTAACTTGATTTCATTTCATTTATGTTTTGTTATTATAATTGGAGATAATCATTAGATGAATGTTCTCCAGCACTTATTTGCAGTAAATGCGCATATTATTTCGAGTCTTTATAATTGGTTTCCTGAAAAGTTTAGAGATTGGAAAAGTTTTTATCTTTCGGGTGATGGAGGTTGAGGCTAAATGATAAACGGAACTCTTTCAGAAAATCAGAAGAAATTCTCTACACTAGTTCCTGCCACTATGCCTTTTAGGGAACTGAAAAGTTCATGTTCTTCCAATTCTGTAGTTTCACTCTTTATGTTGCTTTATCCCCCATTGCGCATCTTGCAGCTTTGGTTGATCTTGATGCCTTAACGCTTCTATTTCTTCAAGCTTGAGTCGAAATGCTAAAATTCTTTGATAAATTTATCTTCTTTCATCAGTAAACCCATTCTCTAACTTGTGAACCTTGATTTTGCTCTTTCAGATTGTGGAATCTCTTGTTTCTGAATCTTCAATAGAAGGTCAAATGTTTGGGCTCCCTCGGATCTTTGCCTATTCTTTGGCTTTCTCTCTTTCTGTTTTGTTCATCTATGTAAATTATCATCTCATTAGTTACTGCTAGTGGAACAGGTGGTCAGGTTCTTTTGTGGGTTTGTTCATTTTTTAAAGATAATCTGAAAGTGGAATTTCCCCAATCAAGTCTCCCCAAAAGTTAGATATAACCTCACTAGATGTTAATCACATGAGTGGTTTAATAGATTGTCAGTACAAAAAATGTGAAAACTGATAGTATGACTTTCCGAAGTAGACAAAAAGGTTAAAGGGTATATTTTGTGGTTGATCTGAGTGCTTGTGTTTCTGAATTTAGTGGGGGGCAAACCGGTGTAAGCTAGGCCCACACTTTAGATACATTTGATTGTACCTTTACCCAGTTTACTTTAAGATGAATGAACTATGTGCGATGCATTTGCTTATTCATGCGGGTAAGCTGGTCATACTGATTTAACAACTTTTTCCCTACAGGAAATGTCATATTCTTTTTGGGTGTAAAACAGCTTGTCAGATTTGTTGTTACTTTTTAGCAATATTTTGTTGTTCTCACTTAAACATTATTCATTGTAGCTATCTAATGTATCTTGATTTTATTTTTTTCAGATATTGAAAAGCCATCAACAAGTAGGCAACACTATGGCCTGAGACACAACTCATTTAGTCATAGGTGGAGCTTAGAGGAGTTGAGGATCTCAAATTAGTTTATTATAGATTTAGTTGACTTTGTTATATTGGAATGTGTGTACATTTGAATTGTAAATGATAATTCTTTTTTTGAATAAAGAAGCGCTTTTTTATTTTTGATGCATTGTCATTTTTATTTTTCAGGTAGTAATCTAATTTGTTGTGTGTGTATGTATATATATGACATTTATATATAATCAACATTATGTGATACCAATGTATCATAAATTTAATTGATACTAATGTGTCAAAATATAACGTGATGTTATTTTGTCATAATTGTTTATGATACATTAGTGTCATAAATTAGTGACACTTTATCAGTGACACTAAATTTAGTGTCACAATTCCCGACCTTCTTTGACACTTTTCTAGTGTCAGTAAAACTTTCTGTGACACTAATTTAGTGTCACTATAGACCATTTTTCTAGTAGTGAGGTGTCCCTAGAACATTTATGGTTTTCCTTATCATGATTCTTACATCATTAGCACCAACCCCATCCCATATAAGACTTTCCGTTGAAGCACTATGGAACCACTAACCCCATTCATATAGTTATTCACCATTCTCTCTAGTGACTTAAATATGCCCTTTTCCCTTTTGGGTTAATTACCGCTGTAAATCACATGAAATGTTATATAATACCATACATGCACTCCTCTCATTCCATAGTATATTACTTCATCGGTTCAAAAACATTTGTATTTTATTGTTATCTTAGTTTGATCTAGTTTGTTCTGGTTTGTTTAAATCTATATTAGAGTTGAATCATTCCAAATGAAAAGATCCTAAGAGTGGGTATATGTAGAAACTATTTAATTCGCGTGTTCATATGTTTATGCTTATTATAATGCCTATTTTGTGTTAATGTATTCATTTGGTGTGCGATCATGTGATTTTAATTAATAATGCACTTTTTGTGTTCATGTGTATGCTTTAAAGTTATCATTTGCCAACCATGACATGATCGAGATTGTATAGTAAACAATTATTTATTGTATTAATTACTTTTCATGATCAATCAAACATGATCAAATCTCAATTGTGCCTTGAGATTTGGACAAGAGGAAATATAATTTTTTATAAGCACCATCCAAATTACCTTACCTGTATTTGTAGGAAGAGAATGTTTAAAGACATCAAGCATGCAATACGTTCACAATGTCTATCCAACCTCTCAATCCAACGCTTTGCTCCAAATGCCATGCCAGAACGAAGTAGACGACGATAAATATTGATCGCTTTGTTTCCTTCATCTGCCTCCATATTCTCTACCCATGTAATTTTTTATACAAATAAATATACTATTTAAGATTCACATGGCTATAAATGGCTAAGAGATTGAATGTCTTTCAATATTTCACATGTTTGTAAAAATTTAGTATACACATATCACGTACTATACAACCACGTACATTTTCATAATTAAACATATAGGTTAACAAAAGTTTTGCAATGTATTTTTCTTATTGATACACACATAATATCAATTTCAAAAGATAGAAATTCAATTTGATTCTGATTACAAGGAGTGCATAATATTAAAAATTTCTAAATTGAAGTAAAAGTTAAAAAAATTCTCAAACAAGACTAGAAGATTATCATACTTTATTTCCTAAAATAGGATTTATGCATTTCTATTTAGGAATGCTTTTATTCTTTTAACAGGAATAGAGAAGTCCTATTTTAAAAAAGAGCACACTCTATCCTATTTTAGTAATTTCTTTGAGGAATATTTTAAAAATTGTTAACAAGATAATCTCAACTATACTAAACAGAAAGGTCATATCCAATTTTATTACTAATGTACCTTTGTATGGCCGTTTAGAGTCTCTTAAAAGAGGCAGCGAGATGGTTGCCTCGAGCTTCAATCCAGAGAGGTCATATCGAAATGTCTATTTATAAAAACATCCACAATTTCCCAAGTTTCATTCATGCAATTCTTCTTGCAGTACCTCAAAAAGTAATAGCTTTAATTTCTGGTGCAACTTGTGGTGTTGGAACATGAAAATTAGTACTTGTTCACTATTTCATTAAGCATAAAATCAATGCTAACAAAATTTGGCAATACACAGAGTTAAGTGTAATTTTGTGTGCATATGTACTTTTGCGAATCAACATTATTTAAGCAGTCACATAATATTTATCTTAAGTAAAAATAAATAAACTAATCTAGTATCTAACTCTATAAAACTCAATTACTCCATTCGTATATATAACATTTATGTTTTTGATGATGGAAACATAACACTTGTAAAGCTCTGTCATAGTTCCCTGCCACTCCAATTGATAGAAAACCTTCCCCGATTATCTTTGAATCAATACTAGAGAATGTACTTGCTCAATCGATCTAGTTGTGAACATATATAAATTAAATAATTTATTTTTTTAACGTGTTTTTAGAAGAAATGTATTACTCCCTCCATCCCAAAACATGGTCATATTAAATTTTCTTAGTCAACGATATATGTTAATATGAAATCATTTTAAATCTTAAAATTATATGAAAACATTCTTTGTTAAAAGTATTTTCATAAAAGTACAAACTTTATGGTTGACCAAAAAAAGTTTGTGAAACTTTGTGCGATGGAGGGAGTAGTATTTTATAGAGATTTTTGCGTAAATATTAGTAATAATGTTTAGGTTTACAAAAAAGTGACTAACTACCAATCACGTATAGAAGCATGGGGAGTAATTGTAGGAAAACCACCTTGTTAATTTAACTGGTAGTCATATTTTTGTTAGAGAGATTTAAGGTAGTAATATTTGTGTATTTTTTTCTATTTTATAAGGAGTATCTATTATATTTCAAACATTGTATAAAATTTTAAAACAATTCAACATTTTTGACCAAGTAAAACTAATGGAGAACCCAAAACACACACAGATAAATATCAAGAGCAATGACATCATGAACCCTTCGAGACTTTTATGCACACATAAAGTTGTGTCGTGAATGTTAAATACTTATTGTTCAATCCATCAATAGCACTTTCAAAAAGAATTTCACACGCTAATAAAAAACCGAAAATAAGAACCTAGCTCACCTCCCTAGACCATGGATCATACTTTACTAGCACACCTCCAAAGATGCATGTGGAAAGCAAGGTTTTGACGGTTGAAGGAAAGTACTATGGTGAAGCCCTGCGAGCACCTAACTTTTTTTTTATGTAGAAATATCGTTGACTTCTTCAGGCGATACATTCATCGTGACTTGATCACCCAAGTTCTCTCGGGTACTTTTGTCGGTCAACGAACATTCAGTATATGATGGACTTTTCCCACAAATTGTGTTGAGAATGTAGGAACTTTCTTCTCCGTAAGTATTAACATCATTAGAAGATGATGAAGTGTATTTATCATTAATTTCAATAGCATAATTACCACTTTGATTATGAGAAATATCGGTAAATGAATGATTCAGTAAAGGAATTCTCAAAACTTATAGAGAAATGTAAACAAATCAAAAGATAAAAAAAACTTGATGAAGAAGAGGTATTACTCAATTTCGAGACCTGTATGCTCGTACTCAGTGTGGGGACAACATGATGAAGAGGTATTTATTTATTACAACATATTATTATTATTATTATGTAAAAGCCCGTGGGTTTTCCTTTAGCTCGTATGGGTCATACCATATTATATACTCACATGCTCTAATTGTTAAAACACAAGATATCTAGTCAACACTAAGTGACCCCACCTGTTTTAGTGCAATCCCAACCTTTCAATATGTAACGTTCCATGCACAAGAGATGTGCCCGTTGGCTTATACGTAGTATGATGTTATAATTCCGTGTCTCAACATTGGATTAGATTACATCAAATTATCATACTCCTTTCACACATATGTTTGACCTTACAATGAAGCACATAAAATTAATTTTGTGTAATACGAAGTACAATTTTTTTAACTTTGAGTAATTTAAGGTCAAAGTTAAGTAATTTTGAGTCAAAATAAAGTCAAACCGGGACTATAATTGAGGGGCGGAGGTAGTACTTTTTAACTACTCTGTGTATTAGACAAAATTTAAGTATATTGTACCCGATTAAGACAATGGTAAAATCCCCATTGTAAGATGTTACTAGATTGGACTAGAATCAAAAATCTAGTAAGATCAAATTAGACCAAAACTTTTTGGTTTGAATTTAAAAAAGGGATAAAGATTAAATCGGACATTATGGTTACATGTGTATCTCATATTGGACACTAAAGTTTCATAATTCATTGTTTTTGGACACTCACTTATAATTTTCTTCTTCCTTTAATAAAAAGGGAAAATGGAAACTAATAACACAACCTTTTAGCGGTCTTCTTACAACAGTCCCACCTTTTTGTTATTCATGAATAATCCAACCTTTGTATCTCATCTTCATTCACTAGTCTCTGACCGGTTGATGACTTGTTATTCTAAGTTATTTTCTTATCTGTGCAAACCATTATACCATAAATCGCACCTTTCACAAAGATAATATTTTGCAAAGATAAGAAAATAACTTGAAATAACAGGTCATTAATCGGTCAGAGACCAACGTATGAAGATAAGGTGCAAATGTTGGATTATTCATGAATAAAGAAAAGGTGCGACTATTATAAGAAGACCGCTAAAATGTTGGATTATTAGTTTCTATTTTCCCTAATAAAAATAGTTAGTCTTATTTCTTCTTTCCTTTTTGGTGAAAATAAACTAATTTAATTTATGTATATAATTCTAGAATATTTATTTTGAGGTTTTAGAATATATAATGTTATTTTAATTAATAACTTCTTATATTTAACAATTTAAAAATATATTTAGGACCTTCTATTCTTATGATTTTTATGGAACTTTGGGAAATATCGATCTATTAAATTGATTTAACAATTATAAAGAATTCAATTACATTAAAATAAATTTTCTTAATTGGAACATCTAATTATATATTCTTAATCTAAATATACGAATTAAGTTATTTTTACTTTTTAGGTACATAAAACAAAGAGAAAATGAATACTAATAACTTTCAAATGTGAAAAATCTTTGATGGGTGTCCAAAAATGATCCGAAAATCGTTAAATTTGATCCATATGAAACTTTAGTGTCCAATATGAGATTCACATGAAACCATAGTCTTCAATTTGGTCCATTTGAAACCTTAGTGTCCAATATGAGATTCTCACACAACCATAGCGTCCATTTTGACCCTTATCCCTTTAAAAAAAATAAACTAGGGACAAGAGGGAGGAATTGTTTGGGCAGCATATATTTAATTCGAGAAAAGTATTGATGTATAAGCTTATAATATGAGGGTTTTTGTTGGATATTGTCATTAAATAGAGTTTTCAAATGGATCGTCATACCGTACACGATTTGAGAAAATTCAAGACCTCTAGTCAACAACTAAGTGGGGCCATTGGCCATTCACTCTATAACTTTCCATGCATCATGCATGAAATGTATCTTAACAAATATGAGCTGTTCCTACAATTTCAAAGATTCCAATTAAGGGAGGCCAGCAAATAAATTTCATATTTGGGGATTAAATTGAGGAAAGAAATCCTTTCACACGCGGATCGCTGAGTCATAGATATTTAAAAAGTACTACCTCCACCCCACAATTATAGTCCCGGTTTGATTCAAAATTATTAAACTTTGACCTTTAATTACTCACACTTAACAATATTGTATTACACAAAATTAATTTTATGTGCTTCATTATGAGGTCAAACATCTATGCGAAAGGAGTATGATTATTTAATGTAATCTAATCCAATGTTGAGACACAAAATTATAACATCACATGGAGTATAAGCCAACGGGCACATCTCTTGTGCTAAAACAGGTGGGGTCACTTAGTGCTGACTAGATATCTTGTGTTTTAACAATTAAAGTATATAATATGGTATGACCCATACGAACTAAAGGAGAAACCACGGGCTTTTACATAATAATACGTTGTAATAAATAAATACCTCTCCTTCATCAAATTCTTCTCCCCACATTGAGTACGAGCATACAACTCTCGAAATTGAGTAATACCTCTTCTACATCAAGTTTTTTATCTTTTGATTTGTTTACATTTCTCTATAAGTTTTGAGAATTCCTTTACTAAATCATTTATTTACCGATATTTCTCATAATCAAAGCGGTAATTATTCTATAGAAATGGATGATAAATACACTTCATCATCTTCTAATGTTGCTAATACTTACGGAGAAGGAAGTTCTTACATTCCGAACGCAAGTTGGTGGAAAAGCCCATTATATACACAAGGTTCGTTGGTCGATAAAAGTACCTGAGAGAACTCCGGTGATCAAGTCACGATGAATGCATCGCCCGAACAAGTCGACGCCGTTTCTACATCAAGAACGCTGGGTGCTCGTCAGGCTCCACCATGTGGCTTTCCTTCCAATGTTAGAGACTTACTATCCACAGGTATCTTTGAAGGTGTGCCAGTGAAGTATGTGTCATATTCGAAGTTGGTGAGTGATGCTCGATCTCTTTTTTGGTTTTTTATTAGAGCATCTCCAATGCTCTTCTTTCATTGGAGTAAAGTTTTGACACATCAGACAATTTTAAAAGCGTGGGTTAATTTTTAGCTTTAATGCACTCTTTTAATAGTCTTGTTAAATTGACGTGGAATTAATACTTTCAAAATCACTGTTGGATTTCCGAAAGCATGTTAAATATCATGCTCATTAACATTGGTAACTGTTTCCACTTTTCTAGCGTAATGGGCAGCCGCACAGAACAGATGGTCATTTAGGTTCCGCATGTTTCGTTCCTTTTACCATTTATTTGTGAGTTTATACGGCAATTCACATTTCCTCTTCTATTTTGTATTGGAATTAATAATTGACAAAAGCTAATGTTTCGAGCGTTTAACATTATGCATTGGAGGACTCTTTTTTCTTTCATGCAATTTATGTTTTACGTGGATAGAAAGTACTCTTTTTAGTTGACATTTGGCAAAATTTTACCTCCATTGAAAGAAGAGCATTAGAGATGCGCTTAGCGTTATGAAAGTTCTTGTTTAATAGTTCATCATTTAGAAGTGTTGTTTAAGGATCGACAAATAAGGTTTTAACAATCTAAACACCCCCTTTCTATGTGTGCAGATTACCCTAAAAGGGATCATTAAAGGGACGAATTATCTTTGCGGCTGTGATCGCTGCAAAATGAATAAGGTATATGTATGTGAGTACTGAGTAGCTAGTCTTCATGTCAGGCCGGCCTGACGGGAGCTTCCATTTGGACAAGCCCATTTTGTATCCTTCACGGTGTAATTTTTTGATGAAATATTTTGAGAACGTTCTTCATCAAGTCTAATTTACTCATACCAAATTTTAGGTAAAAAATCAGCCAGGAAGACAATCAAATGATTTTCAGAAAAATACTACACTATTTATATAAATATGAAAACGCAGTGATCTTAAATAATTTATTTGACTACCTTCCCGATTGATTTTTTAGCTTATATTTGGTATGAATAAACTAGATTTGATGAAGAACATTCTTAAGAAATTTCATTAAACAATTCCACTTGGAAGAACCTCGAACGGGCTCAGCCGGATTGCTGTCCTGATCAGGCCGGCCTGACATGAAGATTCATCCATGTATGTATACGTTCAATGGCCTACATATAGTCAAATTCGTATTGGAAAATGCATTTTTCAATTACAGTTATACCCATTTCTTTTAAGACCAACAACATATTTAATTATTTAGTCATAACAAGTACCAATTTATTTATTTCCTACAATGTTTTCTAATCTTTGTTGGGGCTCAGTCCGGTCCAGTGCCTTGCTTCGCCCCTACAGAGAAGAGATCATACCTGAATGTTTTTAGCACGTGAAAACATCCTTAAATCCCGCAGGACACACATATATAACACATGAAGTAATTTTGGTGCAGACTGTGACCGCAATTGATTTTGAGGTTCATGCTGGTTGCTACACAAACCACCCAAATAGCCACATCTTCTTTGCAAATGGGAAGTCCATTTCTGCAGTTGTTCAAGAACTTCAGGCAACCCCTCAGCAATCTCTCTTTGAGGCATTGAAAAATAGCACTGGAACACCTGTCAACATGAAGAGCTTACTAGCCTGGAAAGATGAATTTTTCAAACAAATATAGCAAAGCTGGATAATGCATTATGCAACAGTAGGTCAGGCCAGGACAATCTTAAGATTATAATGCTTGTATGCTTTGTTATTGATTTCTTGTTTCATGTATACTGGAAATAGAACTTCTTGCATTGCTTCCATTCAAATTATATGGTTTCATTGTTGGGAATTATTATACTCTTGATCAAATGTTATTAATTAGTCTGATCAACTACTACAATCAGGGATGGATTTAAGGGGGGCATGGGGGGTGAGTCACGGCCCGCTATTCCGCTGTGAATTCCAAATCACGGGAAAAACCCGCCACGCCGCCCGCTACAGCCCGCTATTGACATTTCCGGCAGTACGTCACGAACGGGTTGATGTGTAAATGTGTCTATGTTGTGTAAATGAACTCTTAATGTTATAAGTGTTCAAACAAATATTCACAATGTTTGTATTAACTTCAACTGTAACACTTGAGATTTAATATAAACGGATTAATAGTACTACTCATACCAACAGAGGTGCATCTCCTTTTAAGGGAGCTCATCACCCAAGAACTCCAAAGTTAAGTGTGCTTGCACGGGAGTAGTCTTGGGATGGGTGACCCCCTGGGAAGTTTCTCAGGGCGCGCATGAGTGAGGACAAAGTGCACGGTAAAGGCTCGTGGTGGTTTGTGGGGACAGTACTAGAGGTCTGGAGTAACTACCTCGGGTCCTGCGGGGCCGGGGTGTTACAAATGGTATCAGAGCAACCCTGAGACAGTGTGTTGATCCGTTGGATATCGGGCGGGCACTTAGCAGGGGAAAAGATTCTGGGGTGTGATTGAGATTGGTTTAAGGGCGCAACGAGGACGTTGTGATCCTAAGTGGGGGTGATTGTAACACTTGAGATTTAATATAAATGGATTAATAGTACTACTCATACCAACAAGATGCTTATCCTTTTAAGGGAGCTCATTAGCCAAGAACTCCAAAGTTAAGCGTGCTTGTAAAAGGCTAGTGGCGGTTTGTGAGAACAGTACCTTGGGTCCTGCGGGGCCGGGGTGTTACATCAACACTCATTAAATATATATGGTTTGCGCAATTGAAAATATTTCACGCCGCTGCAATCGCTACAGTCGGCTACAGGCCGCTACAGGCCGCTACCGCGATGACCGCTACGGCTATTTAAAACCTTGGGGGTGACCACCCCCTTGGACTTTCAAAAATTTCTATTGTATATGTAATATTTTCATATTAGATATATACTTCTTTGTTTTAGAATTAATATATAGTCTTAAATAATCTAATACTTCATTTTAGATTTAAAAGAAGAAACATCTAAAATAAATTTACATAACTCAAATATATAAACAATAGAAACAACTCATTATTTAAAACTTAGGATACTTATTATATAAGAATTCCTATTTTTTTAATGTTTAATTATATATCCTTGTTACATTCTTCCAAAAAAAATTATCTTTGTTAGATAATTCGGACTCAGTTTTGAAAAATATCAAATGAAATTAAAGACCAGACACACTTGTTAAACAATTTTAGATCATGTGAAGTGAATCCAAAATATAAATATTTGTTGACATTAAACTATACGATTCATTTACTTCTTACACTTCATAAAAATAATTTATTGCATAGACAATAAAAATATACTATATATATGCATTTCAAAAATATACTATATATATACCACTAATACAAATATAATATGCACCATATATATGGATTAGTATCATAATATTATTCTAAGAATAGTAATCTCATACATATACTATTGCAATTCAAAAATCAAATCTTTATTGCGATAACATTCATGTGGTTAAACAAGACAGAAGTTATTTTAAAAAAATTAATAGATATGTACATTTTAAATTTCTCTTCAAATAATTTGATAATTAAACTGTTATATACTACGTATCTTTTTTTCAAATAGCTTTTCTTTGATTTACCATTTCTTACGCTTTAATGTATCAATATTTTTTCTATATTATTTCAATTATAAAATCAAAGTTATTTTTCTATTGTCTAAACCTAAAATGTAATAGATTTAGTTATTGTCGTGTATGTGTATCAAAGGAACTTTTTTGAATAAAAATAGCCGCAGAGCCCTATACTACCCAAAAAATATCGCCCCGCTACACTAGAAAACAAAAATCGCCCCGCTAGACTAGCAAAATAAATTCGCCCGCTACACCAGCAGAAAAATTTTCACCCCCTCCACAAACAAAAAAATTTTTTTGGAGGTGATCATTTCTGGGAAATAGAGTTTTCAGAAAATGATAGGAGAACATGAAAAATAAAAAAGTAAATAAAAGACATAAAATAAAAGCAAGGATTTATTAGTGAAAATAAAAATACCCTAAAGAAGTTCGATCAAGCAATTTAGTGGATCTTCATCCAAAAGGAAATAGAATAGCAAACAGTAAAAAGAAAATGATTTTTTAGAGGAAATGCACCGAGCGATTCAAATCAGAGAAAATAGGTTTAGAGGAAAGGGGGAACAGACTTTGCTTTTGGCTAGAGATATATCCTATGGATCTTCTTCGCCGTCAACAGATCTCTTCACATCACACTTGCTGCCTCCCCCATTTATCTCATGATAATCTTAGGTATGAGCCATTTATGATTTTAGGGATTTAATGGAAGGGAAGAGATACGTTTCAGTTGAAATAAAAAGAGCGATGAGTTGGTATATATAAGTAAACACAGGGGCAAAACTGGAAATAAAGATATGTTGGGAAAAAACACTCCGGACTTTCCCGCTTCGTGAAGTTAAGATAGGCACTTAGGAAATAAGGTAGCGATGGGAGCACACGATTTAAATTCTCCAATATGGAGATTCTTCCACTATACAAAAGAATAGTAGGGTATACAAGGATGTTACAAAATTGTCTCACTCAATGGTGGCTCACTCAAGCTTGAGGATGATGTCTTCCCAAGCTATCTCTCTTCTCTCTCAAAGAGGCTCTCTAACTTTCTCACTCTAGAAGTGGATTCACTCTTGGCTAGGATGATTAGGAATGGAGGCTCCTACTCCTATTTATACTACTCCACCTCCCTAATGAATGGTGGAGAGTAGTTCTCTAGAATGCTCTACATATGTCTACATATTCTAGAAAACTCCAAGGAATCTCTACACCTCTCCATTCTCTTCCATATGCTTCCATAATCTTCCATAGGCTTCCGGAAGGTCCCACACATCTCTAGAATATTCTAGAAGTTTCCACACTATTCCACAAGCTTCTAGAGAGTTCTAGACTTCTCTAGGATTCTCCGGAACGTTCTAGAAAATTCTATACTTCTCTAGAAAGCTCTAGAATTTTCTAGAACCTCTCCAATTAAGGAGGGATCCCAACAAATCTCCCCCTCGCGACTTAATTGGGGGGTAGTAGCAAACCTGCACCTTGACAGCAATCTTCGAACTTCTTTGTCGGTATTACCTTGGTCATCATGTCTGACCAGTTCTCGTCGGTGTGAACCTTGTCAAGATGCAATTTCTTTTCCTCGAGGACTTCTCGGATCCAGTGATACCTTGTGTCAATGTGCTTTGTGCGGGAATGAAATGTTGAGTTTTTCGCCAAGTAAATTGCGCTTTGATTATCACACTTCAACACGTACCTTTCTTGATCTATTCCCAGCTCGAGCAGAATGTTCTTCATCCACAACATCTCCTTGCAAGCTTCAGTAGCTGCGATGTACTCTGCCTCTATGGTGGATAATGCAACACACTTTTGCAGCTTTGATTGCCAGGAAACAGCTCCCCCTGCAAAAGTAGTTAGGTAACCCGATGTTGATTTCCTTGAATCAATATCACCGACCAAGTCTGCATCTGTGTATCCTTCTAACACAGGTTTTCCTTTTCCAAAGCATAAGCATCTTTTGGAAGTTCCTCGTAAATATCGGAGGATCCATTTGACCGCTACCCAATGTTCATTCCCAGGGTTGGCCAAGAAGCGACTGACGACTCCAACTGCATAGGCGATATCTGGTCTTGTGCATATCATTGCATACATGAGACTGCCTACTACCGATGAGTATGGAATCTTCTTCATTTCCTCTATTTCTTTCTCATTTGTTGGACTTTGCTTCGAACTCAACCTGAAGTGTCCAGCAAGTGGTGTGTTTACCGGCTTTGATTTGTTCATGTTGAATCGTTCCAACACTTTCTCAATGTACCTCTCTTGGGATATCCACAACAGTCTCTTCGATCTATCACGAGTTATTCTCATCCCAAGGATTTGTTTAGCCGGTCCCAAATCTTTCATGGCGAAACTCTTGCTTAGATCCTTTTTCAAGGCATCTATCTTTATGCGATCTTGTCCAATGATCAACATATCATCAACATAGAGTAGAAGTATGAGGAAGTCGCCACGTTCATACCTCTTTATGAAGACACAATGATCACTTTTCGTCTTTGTAAAGTCATGCTCTGCCATGAAGGATTCAAACTTCTTGTACCATTGCCTCGGTGCTTGCTTGAGGCCATATAAACTCTTCATGAGGCGACATACTAGATTTTCTAGGTCTGCTCCATGTAGATCTCTTCCTCTAGGTCGCCATGAAGGAATGCCGTCTTGACATCGAGTTGTTCAATCTCCAAATCTTGAACTGCTGCCAGGCCAAGGACAACTCGGATGGATGACATCTTTACCACGGGAGAGAATATTTCCTCAAAGTCGATGCCTTTTTCTTGACCGAATCCTTTGACCACCAACCGAGCTTTGTAGCGAGGCTTTGAGCTACTATCTTCAGTCTTGATTCGATACACCCATTTATTCTTCAAGGCTCTTCTCCCTTTTGGTAGCTCCACAAGTTCATAAGTGTGATTCTCATGCAAGGATTGCATCTCTTCTTGCATGGCTTTTATCCACTCTTCTTTATGAATATCATTGATTGCTTCTTTGTAACTTTGCGGCTCTGATAAGTCCATTTTTTGTACTTATTTTTCTTATCAAATTTAAGCGATTTTTGAATGAAAATAGAAAGAAAAGACACATTTTATATATTTTGGTTCAAGTTTCATGAAATCAGGTAAAAATCACATCCATAATATGTTTAGCGGGATTTCGGGTCAATTGAGCACAAAATGAGTCAATTTGAGTGACAAATGCATTTATACCGGAAGAAGCAAGCATTTTATCAAGGTGATTCAGAAGACAAAGTTGAAGAGCAAGAAAAGCCGCATCTGCCAGACAAAAGTGGCTGAAGGCGCCCAAATAGGCGCCCAAAATGGAGGCCTTCGCGGCCGCCTACGGGAAAATTCAGAAGTCAACCTCGCTTTGACTCGGGACCAGGAAAAGACCGAAGGCTGCCGACACTGGACAGAAGGCGGCCGCCTACGGTGGCCGCCTGCGGCACAAGGGGACGAAACCAACCACCGATCGGCCAGACAAGACGGCAGGCGGCCAGATAGGACGGCAGGCGGCCGCCTGCTGGACCGCCTGCGGCGGCCGGGGTCCGCCGGGATCCGTCGGGATCCGATCTGCCAACGAAAAGATGGCAGGCGGCCATTTTTGACAGAAGGCGGCCGCCCTCTGTGGCCGCCTACGGCTGACGGGACCGCCATCGACGGTCTGCCGGCGACAGGACGGCACGCGGCCAGAGGCTGCCGGAAGGCGGCCGCCTGCCCGGGCGCCTACGGGAATTTTTCGGCTATAAAATCCAGGCTTTTTCCTCAACTCAAATACACCAATTTCAAGCCCAAATCAGATCAAAAAGGGCGTCTTCTTCCTCCTCAAAGCTCGGATTTCCACCATTGTTGCACCTTCAACTTCAATCTTTCATATCTTTCTCATTTTAGCTCCAAATTGTGAGTTCTTTATATGTATTTTCATCTTTTCAATGAGTAGAATCTGAATCTATACTTAGTTTTTTCTATCTATGCTTCGAAAATTTCCAGAAAATTATTCCACTATTTCGCATTTTCTTCTTAAATTTGAATAAAATAGTTGTTGACATTAAATCCATTCCAATTAATTATATAGTTGTTTACTAGCCTCAAGGTAGTTATTTATCATAACAAGGTTAATTTTTACGAAGTAGAAGTAAATTTTAATAAATTCCGGCATTTAGTTGTTATTATTGCATAAATTAAATTAAATACTAAAAAAAGGCAAAAAATTAGTTTTTGTCCTAATTCCAGTTTAATTCACAGTAATATCACTCCTAGTAGTCAATATAAAATTTAGAACGAATTTAGAATAATTGTAGTTGTTTTTTTTGTATTTTCTAGTTAATATTGAGAAAATTATCAATTAGTTGTTAAAATTGGATTTTAGGTTCAAAAATTCGTGAAAAATTCTAGAAAGTTATATTTTAGTTTCTACAAGTTTATTGTTCCATAATATAATTTTTGCTATCATCCATGTTTAATTCCTTGTTAATGTTGAATATATTCATTATATTGTTAATTGTTAAAATGATCTTTATTAGCTAAATTTCTTTTGGGCATGAATTGACTAAAGGAATATGGATTGACTTGTTGACCAAAAAATTAGGGATTAAAATTAATAATTTGGACTAGTTGTTTGAAATGATGAAATAGTAATTAATAATTGTTAGCCATATTCATTAATTAAATTCTTGGAAAATTATCTCTAACTTGTCAATGAGATTAGAAAATAATTTAAGCCAACCATATTCGAGCACATTAATAAGGCCTAGAAATAGGATAATTTAATGAAATGGATTTACATCTTGTCTATGAGAGATAAATTCAATTGCTTAAATAATGAGTTTAACTAGTTAATGAATTTGGCTATTTTTATTAATTAAAATATTGGAGAATTATTTCTACCTTGTCTATGAGGTTAGAATTTAATTCAAGCCAACCATTTTGAACACATTAATGACACCTAGAAATAGGATAAATTAATGAAAATAGTTTCTATTCTTGTCTATGAGGAAAGAAATTATTAGTCCAATTTTAGTTTTAATTTCCCTAATTACTAGGTCCAAGAATATATCCATTTCTAATTACTCGATTCATTGCCCTTATTTGCATCAATCCATTTAAGTTTAATATTATATTTTTTTTCCTTTAGTTTATTTTTGAGCCATCATTAGTATTTGCACAATTTAATTTACTTTCTTTTCCAAAAAGTAGTTTAGAAAATCAATCAAAAGTTTTAATTTGGAAAGCTTCCAATAATTTGCGATAACCTGTGACTGGACTTAAAATCAAGAAGCTCCTCCGCCATTCCTCGAGAGACACGATACTCGGGGAAAAACCGAAAGGTTAGACTCCGTTTTACTACAACGCCGCGAAAGCGGTTATCAGGCTCCCCCTCATCCGTGAGTGTAATGTAATCTTCGGTGTTATACCGGATGGATGGTCTTCTCTCCCTAGAGGATCGCCTCGGCTCTGGTGCTGGCAGAGAACTAGATTGAGGATCTTCCTGATTTGATTCATCATGAGTCTCTTGGTTGCTTTGCTCATGGTTTTCATCATCATTATCTTGATGTGTGTCATCCTCACGTTGAAATTGAGTAAGTTCGGTGTTCTTGCTTCTTCTCAATCTTGGCTTCTCCGAGTTCTTAATATCTTCAATCGTTTGATCTTCGAAGAAGATGACATCTCTGCTACGAACAACCTTCTTATTGATTGGATCCCATAGCCGATAGCCAAATTCATCCTTGGGTGAGCGAAGGTAGATA